GAGACAGTTGTAAGCACTGTATAACTGCCTCGAGGGTGCTTGACCATTGAGAACACAACGTGGTGCGATCATCCCCCTTGCGCGGTGTGAGGCGTTTCCACCCCGCACAACATGATCTACTCGACCACCATTCATCGTGAAAAAAAAAAAAAGCAGAGGCAGAAAAAACAAACCCGGTAACCTGGTTGCTGAGCTCACGAAGTAAATTGGCATCTTTTACAACGTCGTTGCCAAGCGACGAAAACCCAACCCCGATGGCAAAAACCGGAGGGGGCGGCTTGTTTTACAACGTGGTTGCCAAGCGACGAAACACCAACACCGATGGCAAACACCGGGGGGGTGGGTGTACTCATAGTCGTGCATGCCGTAGTCGTTAGACCATTGACCTCGCATCCCTACAAAGCCGGGACGGAGCACGCCGGGTTCTCACCGGACCAGGCTCAGGGTGGGGGGGGGGGGCATTCTAGCCTGCGTTGAAAATGGTCGGTGTGAGCTATGAGTGAGGACTGGGACAAGAAGCATAATTCGCTCTACGATGAGAGACAACGGTTAGATGCAGCTGGTCGACGGAAACGGTGCCCTGCAGGAGACAGGGCAGCAAAAAACTGAAAAAAAACTGCAGTAGAATGGTACCCGGCTTTCGTGCGTGCGTTGAGGGGGCGGGTACACGGGAATCAGTGAGCGGACAGGCAGGCTGGCCATCGAGCCCGGTGACCCGAACACCGACCGCAACGCCAAGCCTTCGACGTGACCAACCCAACAGCAACTTACCCGAAATTTACAATGGCTCCGATAGTTGCGGCATTGCCTATGGCTAGGATATTTGTCGAGTGCTCTCTCTGTCTCTCTGTCTCTCTGTATCTCTGTCTCTCTGTCTCTATCTCTCATTCTCTGTCTGTCCCTCTCACCTTCGCCGCCTGGTGTGCTGTTGCAGCTGCTGACCATCGCCTTCGACGGCAGGTCGTTTCCTGGGGGCGTTGCCAAAAAGGTCTGCTTGGCCACCTCCGCCGCCGCCGCCATCCGTCGTGATGCACCCCACACCTTCGAAGCCAACATATTTGCCATTTCAGGGAGGGGGGGGTGTAGTCATAGCCGTGCATACCGTAGTCATTAGATCATTGACCGCGCATCCCTACAAAGCCGGGACGGAGCGCGCCGGGCTCCCACCACACCGGGCTCTCACATCACCTAGCGCGGAGCGCCGTGAGGTATTCCGCGAGTCATTTCAGAGGGAGGGGGAGCGTTTGTATTTTTGACGAAACAATTGGCATCGGCGAGCGACGGATGGGCCAGCAAACCTCGCGCATCCATGCATCCATGCATGTGCGGGGCATAAACACGCACAACCGGCGGACCAGCCGGGTAAGGCCCGGTAGTGACGAGGTTCAATAATCGAGCTCGGATTGGTCAAATGCCAAAAAGTGACGAGGTTCGAGTCATCAAAACCAAGAATCAAAATTGAGCTCTGATTGGTCAACGGCCAAAAAAAATAAAGGCTTCGTATGGGTTTCCAAAGAGCTCACTTTTGGCATTCTCGAAGGGCCTTTTTCAAAAAATACTACTTCAAAAATGCTCCGATAGCACTTTTGGATTTTTCGATTTCGGATATTTCCAACATCGTTATCACACACGGCCTAGCTTCCCCACATCTACACGCACAGCAGGCGCCGATGCCCGTCGCCGACCGAAGAATGGAAGGAAGGTGATGCTCAAATACGACGAAGACGATCAAATCATTATCCAAGAATCCTATTCCACGAAGCATCGAGCCAAACGCGTACACACATTGCACGCACTCTCCACATTTGGACGAATTCGTTTTGCATTGACCCGACGAAACCAGAGAGAGGGAAGACAAAACCAAAGAGAGGAAAGAGAGAGACAGAGAGAAGAAGAGAATGAGAGGAAAATAGTGATCATGTTGTATACATACAAAGTACACAGAGGAGAGAACGTCAGCGCTACTCGTGGAGACCGCCGGAGGGCGCGAGATCATCCAACCGCAGACAAATAGACTATTCTTCCTTTTATTGTTCTTCCTGGGCTGCATGCCACCAAAAAGTCGAGCGAAAAAGAGAGAAAAAAAAACGCGTGCACTTAGAAAATTGAACAAGATTAACTAGCATACATGCAGGAAAAACTCAGTCGTTAGCTCACCATAGATGTACGCGACGTTGGCGAGCAGCGCCAGCGGTATCGCGTAGCGGACGAGGTCGTGGTAGGCCACCAAGAGCAGCCCGGTCATCACCGACAGGCTCTGCATGGGATTTTTCCACTGCAGCAGGTCCTGGTACGCACACACACGCACACACGCGCACCCTTGATCAGAAGGGGTTCGTGTTTTTCATTCCGCTACAGGGCTGACGTCTTCTCTTCATTGGTCAGCCTGCTTGCGCGGTCGATGCTCAATAAGAAAACACACACACACACACACACACACCGCACAGGAGCGCGGAACGACGAGAAAGGTGTCAGAGGCAGCANCGAAAAAACACACGCATAGACTACACCGTACAACACGGTAAAGGAGGAGGCGGGGAGAGGGGTGTCAGAGGCAGCGCAGGCGTGGCGGGCATGGTCGTTCAGACTTCCCGTGACCGCGCTCGTCCGTCATCTCCACCCCGCCCCGCCCCCCTGATTTCATCCCACCATGCATTGGTAGACACAGTAGGTGATGCTGTACATTCGCGGGAGCAATTGTCCTTTTCGTTGGTGTTCTTCCAAACATGAAATATATGCGTCTCTGCTGTTTCCACAGATGAAGAGTTGAGGACAAAATGGCGATGAGGTCACAGCGTCGAACGGCATCACGAACGCTGTAGTTGCAAACATTGGTGCTCGGGTCCTCTCCGCAACCCGCTCGCTCCAGGGTTGCAGATAGATGCCGTATTCACGACCAGGCCAAGCAACCAAGAATGGCGCTAATATTCACGGACACCCGGACTTGAGGACCCATGCTCCCCTTAGGGACAAGGACGGGACCCAACCTCGACACACCCTGCCTATGTCTATCATTCCTAGGTCACGCACTCCATGAAGTCAGAGGCAATTCCGTGTGTGGCAGCTTCGGGGAGCCGGAATTAACTCAGACCCCCGCCGCGTGCCACGACAGACGGCTCCGCTGCGAGCCAGCCACAAGCGCATCTCGAACCGTGGTACGCAATCTGGGGGTGGACATCCTAGAACGAACGCTCCTTATGGCAAAAGCACAACACGAAACCGATAATGACCATCACCGCGTACGTCGTCGTCTTTCATCCCTAACCTTCGTCGCCTTCTCCAACCCATCGAAGACCGGATCCACCAGCTCCCAGAACAGCTCCCACTCCTGCCGAAACTTCTGGGGCGTGAAGGTCCGGACGGCGGCAGCCCTCCTAAGCTCGAACTCCCGGGGCCTCGCCATGAACCGCGCCAGGGTCAACAGCCAACGCCGCCCGCGCCGCCTCGACCGCTCGTCGAGCTCGTCTAACCTCCTCCTTCTCACAGCCGCCACCGCCGCCGCCGCCGCCGCCGCCGTCCCTCCCCCCCGCCGCCACCCTCCCATTCGTCCTCTATCGCCGTCGTCGCCCCCTCCGCTGCTACCGTCGTTGCCGCTACCGCGGCCGCCGCCGCCACCGCCACAGGAGCCAGAGTAGTCGTCCCGTCCGCCGTTGTTGGTCCCCGCCGACTCCAAGAAGGCGCGAACAATCTCGTGCCGGTTCGGGATGCCTTTGGACGAAAGGAAGAGGAGAGGCCGCGCCCCCGAGCGGGTGGCCTTGGACAGGGCACGGGAACGCATGATGTTGGCAGCCACCTGAGAGGATTGATCAAAAACGGGCGGAGGAGATCGGAGGGAGGGTTATCATGTGAAGGCAGTTCGTAGCCGGTAGATTATTGGGAGGGGGGGGGGCAGGACAAGAAACATACAGAGGAGATGTATCGAACGGGTCCACTGCCAGACGAGAGGAGAAAATACTACGGCGGCGATCGACGGGAGTGCTGTTGTTAGGCCGTGAGGCTCGTGGAGAGGGATAGGGTGGGTTGCGTGGCCGCTGCTGCCGCCACCGCCACTGGTGTGATGAAATGCATAGCAGAATACTACGGCCTTTCAGTCTAAAGGTCTACGGAGATCTGTCTCGTCTCACAGCACCTCAGGTCTAAAGGGGTCGGCTGTGTCTGCCGAAGTGCTGGTGGTACCGTTGCGGGGG